AGGATAATTTTCTGGTATCAATCCAAACAAAATTGCCACCAGCTTTCTTCAATCTTCCATTTCACTTCTTCAGGGAAAAATAAGGAATTGAAGATCATGCAATAACCCTCAAGAAAGTTTTTTTTCTTTCTAACCACATTCCAATCAAGAAGAAAGGATTAAAATGGCAGCTTGCACAGTGTACACAATCCAATCCCTCCACCACTCAACAACAAGTTCGATAGTCCCATCCTCACCTTTGACGAGCCGAAGCAGCGGGAAACGAACTTCCCGCTGCAGAAAGGCGAGCGGGAGGATCCCGATGAGCCCTTCATGCTCATCGTCATCTTCGGAGAACAGCAGCAGAACAGTGGTGATAGGACTGGCGGCGGACTCCGGGTGCGGGAAGAGCACCTTCATGAGGCGTCTGACGAGCGTGTTCGGTGGTGGGGCGGAGCCTCCAAGAGGAGGAAACCCCGACTCGAACACGCTCATCAGCGACACCACCACAGTGATATGCCTTGATGACTACCATTCTCTGGACAGGAATGGGAGGAAGGAGAAAGGGGTCACTGCCCTCCACCCAAGGGCTAATGACTTTGACCTTATGTTTAGACAGGTCAAAGCTTTGAAAGATGGGATTGCTGTGGACAAACCAATCTATAATCATGTCACTGGCCTTCTTGATCCTCCTGAGCGCATTCTTCCTCCAAAGATCCTTGTCATTGAAGGATTGCATCCTATGTAAGTCCCTTTTTCTTAGCTTCATTTTTTCCTTTTAACCTCACTCATATAATTCTCAGTGCTGTAGATACTGTAGACTTGGATAAGGGTGATGTGGCTAATAACAAACTAAGCTTGGGTGTTTGTTAGTAAATAGTAATGCATGGCGTTTAATTACTTAATTAATTAAATTATTATCACTATTATCGTATAACAAATTAAAGTGCGTATGTAGTACGTAGTATTTTTTACTGAATAAACTGAATATATATTTACTTTATTAAAATGAAATTCATATCCATAACTTAATTTATATGGGGAAATCCATCTATTATCTTTTGGCCTTATTTGTGTGGTTGAGGAATTGATATCGTTTTGTGTGTGACATTTTGCATTACATATTCGTCTTTTGGCCTTAACTTTTCATTATGTCAAGGACTCTTATCTTTTCCCTGTTGGGCCGCCCATTTAGGTAGTTTCTTTTCAACATTCGTAACTTTATGGCTCCTAGTCTCCAGCCCAATAAGGGTCAATTTTTTTTGTTATAGGATCATTTATAATTTGAACTTAAAATTATATTTATTGCAACTTTTTTATATAAAATAAGGTAGCAGTACCACAATAAGAACTTAATTATCAATTGTGAGACCTTGGAGTAACATTTAGGGAGTGTTTGCAATTGATTTAAAAAAGTGCTTTTCAGCTTTTGGCTTAAAAAAAGTTAAAAAGAGTGTTTTCAAATGACAGCTTCTGCTTAAATTAATCACTTAAAAGCTAAAAGCTGGAAGCAGGTGGAAGGGTGCTTTAAACTGCTTTTCACTTTTTCTATTACACAAAAAGTACTTCTTTTACCAAACACTACCAACTTTTACTTTTTCAGAATCACTTTTTCTTCAAACACTACCAACTTTTACTATTAATCACTTTTCTCAAAATCACCTTAAAAAAATCACTTCTTTAAAGTTGAATGACGATGAATCGATGATGATGAGTAGGTTTGACGCCCGTGTAAGAGAGCTCTTGGACTTCAGTATCTACTTAGATATCAGCAATGAAGTCAAGTTTGCATGGAAAATTAAGGTACAATATTTGTTTTCCAATTACCCGATTTTTTTCTATTACACATAATACTTACAAATATGCAACATTATACTAATTGTTCATTTTTAATTGCAACATTGGATCTTTTGCTCGATTCATATATTCTATTTTGACTATATTTCATTTATAAATGTATTAATTTAAAAATTAATTTTTTTAAAAAATATTGTTAAATTGTTGTCATTTTAAATTTTCAAAATTTGATTTTTTACTAATAACGAATGAAATATATCAATGATCAAACTTGTGTGTTGACAAACGTGAAAAATGAACTATATATATTGCAATAAAAAATGGAGGAAGTATGTTGAAATTTAAGTTCTGGCCCCTTACAAATTAACAAAACTCACGTGCGTGTTAATAAACAATGATTATTTATGTTTACTACGTATAAACGGAATACCAAGACATAATTTTAGGGCAGAGTTCTTGTTTTAACAAGGTATAAACATTTTATTAGAGTAAAGTACAACAGTTAAAATTCATCAATGCTTGTTACATTTTCATGTTTATCTGTTATTTTTAAATATAACATATTTAACACTTTTTGGTAAATTAAATAAATTGATGAAAATCAACTGTAGTTTCAATAATTAATTATTTCTTATATATAGCAACATTAAGCTTTCAAATATGAATCTTTTTTTTCCTAAAAAGAAATATGACTCTTGGAGATATAGATGGAGTAGCTATTGCCAACTTCACTCTCTTATATTTGTCCGTCTTTCTTTTTCCATCCGTTCCACTAATTGAGTTTGTCTCCATATTTTGATATATGTATTGTGTCATTTCAATTAGTTCTTAATTTATTTATGCACTACAAATTTAATATTAATTGCATAGTTCAACTTTTCTTAATGATATATTGTATCATCATTTCACTTATGTATCGTACTAGGATACGATATGTAATGTGCAATTATATGCAGCTTGCACTAGATAGAATAAGTTCCGGCAAGTCTATGTGTCAGGAAATTTGATATCTCAAAAAGAGTAATAAAAATAAATAAATTAAATATACTTCATCTAACTTAAAATGATTTGCAAAGTCTATTTTTATGAATACGTTTCATTTTATTCACTTATTTAGGATACCAATTTCTTTATACTCTAATTTGAATTTGTGACTTTATAGAGCTTTCAATACAGTTTCTATCCTCAAAGAAGATTAAATTATCACAAATCGCAAAGGAAATTTAACCATCACAAATTACAAATCAATTTCGGACAGGACGGAATATTATTTTGTGTGGTGTTGTTACAAGTCACATTACTAATAATGGACACACTCACAAGTTATGATACCACATTAAGTTAAGTGTAAAAGCTTAAATTGAGTTTGAATTAAGTTATTTGGGCGTGCAGAGGGACATGGCTGAAAGAGGACACAGCCTTGAAAGCATCAAAGCCAGCATACAAGCCAGGAAGCCCGACTTTGATGCCTACATTGGTATCTATATATGCATTTATATTCTCTGTTACAGGAATATGTTGACAAGATAAAATACACGTTTCTTTGCAAAAATTTACATCACTGTTGTGATGGATTTTTGTTACGACTTCCTTCATGAAATTTCACGACTAACAGATTTGACATGAAACCGTAATCAAACCCGTAGGTCGTGAAATTTTGTGAAGGAATCTAGGTACATGGTAAAACCCGTCACAAAAGTGATGTTTTATTTGAAGTGTTTGTTTGTTTGTAGATCCGCAAAAACAACATGCAGATGTGGTAATAGAGGTGTTGCCAACACAGTTGATTCCAGATGACAATGAGGGCAATATATTAAGAGTGAGACTAATAATGAAAGAAGAGGTGAAGCATTTCAGCCCTGTTTACCTCTTTGATGAAGGCTCTACCATCTCTTGGATCCCTTGTGGTAGAAAGCTTACATGTTCTTATCCTGGCATCAAGTTCTTCTATGGGCCTGACACTTACTTTGGTCATGAGGTATACATATACATATGGAAATACTATACATTCTGTCTTATTCACCAATTTTCAAAGATGGCTAGCCTGGTCTTCATCAACCAAGAGTCGGTTGGGTAACACTGAAATTGCCCGAATCAGCTAAAATAGGTGAACTTATGACTGAAGCGGTTGGGCGGAATGAATGTTGAATTACGAAAGTTATATTTAAAATGTTTTTTGACTAATAAAATGAAGAAATGTTATACTCCGTACGAAATACAGATAAATTAGTTCATTTAAGCAAACTTAGCCAAGAAAGTAGCATCATCCTTACTTATCTTGATTATTACACAATTCAACTTGCAAAATCAAAAGTATAGTGTTTGATAAAAAAAGTTCACTCTAGAGACTGATAAGCCCAACACAAGAGTTACCAAACAGATTCCAACTTCCAAGTGTATCACATTTGTTTGATTTGCACATGTGGCTCTATATGCATGTCTTAAGGGATATTTATGGATTTAGTTTCATAACTTTTGACTGCACTGCTTATTAGTCCTATTCCTACTATTTTACTTGCTTCAAATCATGTGCCGTAACTAATACGTTTGCTGGAATTAAGAACTTTTCCACTAGAATGTACAAATTTTGGTAAAAAAAAGCACCATAAAAGCCGCTACTGGCATGCAATGTTTTTGATAGAAACTGTACATTCTCGTGGAAAGGTTCTTAATTTGGATGTTAGTTACAACATACACCTGATACGCAAGTGAGTAAAGTTACGTCGAATATTGTTCGTGTCATAATGTTGGCCTAAAAATGAAGGTGTCGATATTGGAGATGGATGGGCAGTTTGATAGACTAGATGAACTCATCTATGTGGAAAGCCATTTGAGCAACATGTCCACCAAATTCTATGGAGAAGTAACTCAGCACATGTTGAAGAATGCCGACTTCCCGGGGAGCAAGAATGGAACTGGATTCTTCCAAACCATTGTTGGGTTGAAGATCAGAGACCTCTTTGAGCAGATCACTGTTTCCAACAAGGCTACACTTCCAGTTGAAGCAAGGGCATGACAAAAAACAAATGAAACAAATTCCCTCATCTCTCTATCTCACTATGTAATTTATTAGATTCATCTTTTCATCCTTTTTCTTCTTCCTCTTCCTCTTGAGCCGGTTAGGTGATTTCCCGTTAATGTGAGTCAACTCCCGTGCGATGTGTATTTATTTTCAGATGTGTATCGTATATAAAGTCTTGCACTAATATGGCTTAAGACTTTCTTAGAGAACTAAATGTAATTTGAATTTATTTAAAGCGTTATATTAAAAAACTCAAGGGAAAAAGTTTGAGTACAGATACTAAAATATAACAACTACATTGCCATAATCACTACATTTCTTATAATTGTCATTGCTTATTAAGAGTGACATTTTCAACCTTTACTTTAACCATATGTTTGCCATGTTGGTCAATGTCACAAAGGAATGGATAAAATAAACATTGCAACATTTTCTTTTATAAAGCGGAAAGTTAGTTGGAGAGGCAAATGAAGTCTACAATTTTGAAGTCCTCATGAATTTCCTCATCTCCTTTCTCAGAATCTTTCCTGTTGGAGATTTAGGTATTGACGTTGTGAAGTAGACTCGCCTAACCTTCTTGTATGGTGCAACCTGTTAACACAATAAGGTGCATGAAAAAAGATATGAATATCCATTTATAGTGAAAGAACTTGAAAATTGACAATGCATATAATAATCGCCCAACATGTGGTTTTTAACCTCTACACATGCCGTTTGTTACCATTAAATAAAGAGGATCATTTTTAGGGATCAAATAGATTCTATAAACCATGACTTTGAATTTTTGAGAGCTCCGAAAAACAACTTTAAGAAAGTATTCAACCACTTATCATTTGATGAAACGTCATTTGTGTTGAATCAAAGCACACACGAAGGGTAGTGGAGCTTCAGAGCACACCAAAAGGCTGATCAGTGGTGGAGTCAGAAATGTAGTGTTAGGGGAGCCGCGGCTCGAAAGTTACGTTTATATTGTGGGTCCAAAGTTTAAAACATCAATTTTTTTTATAGATTATTAAATAGTTATACTTCACCCCTCTCTAGTCCTTCCTTGTCTCTACCAATGGATATACTCATATACAGAGTATAATAGTACATACTAGGCTTCCTTTCTGATAAAGATAAATCAAGTCAACTATAGAAAATATGAATTACATGTTTATCTCCCACAAGGAATAACAAAAAATCGAAAGAAAACTACCATAAGTATGTTTTGACTTTTTTTTTACTTATACAAGTTAGCATTATAGCACAGTGTTCATATGATAGATGAATAATATGCTACTGTATTCTTTTTGTAAATTTAAATTAAGTGCTACTATGTATGTTTTTATTTTTGTAACTTGGATGATTTTGTTTACTTCTAATATGGTTTTGTAATTAAGTGATTTTAGTGATTATTGCATTACTACTAAAATGCATGTTCTGTTTCGTTAGTTATGTAATCTATATACGGAGTATCACACAAGATGTAGTCCCTCGGACTTCCGCTAAAATTGTCTCATTTTACATTTTTCGAGAATTCCTACTAAGATTGTTCCATATCAAATTTGATAAAGTTTTTGTGGTTCTAAATCATTCTTACTTTATTCTTATTTTATCAATTCAATATCAAACACATAAACCTATTTTTCTTAATAACCATGTCACCTCCTATTGTCCCAATGTTAGTGAGACGGAGGTAGGACTATTTAATTTGAAAAACTGAAAAATGCTGAATGAGAGACTTGTACATTGGATCTTATTTCAATCATAAACCAGACACCGTACGTCTGTGCCTGTAACAAATATTAGAAACATCAAGTACTTATAAAATAGATCATACCAACATTAAGTAACTATAAAATACACATAATATTACTTTATAAATATCAATAGACTATACCAAGTTAAATTAGACTGAATTTAGATAAGCTAAATTAAAACATAACATATTTAGATAGATTAGACACGAGGAGACTCGAAAGTGGGGGAAATTCGACTTTCCCCCTATTTTTTGGGATGATATTGAACTTTGTACCTCATTTTCAGAAAAACTAATGTGCGCACCACATTCTCTAATAAAATGGTTTTTTGCATGGGCAGCTCATTTGGTCATAGTCAAAATTTCGAACAATTACCCAAAATCGAATCACGCCAGCGTGAGAGTAACTTCTCAAAGTGAGGGAGGCTCCGTGTGTGCAATGAGCACTGGTCTAGCATATGTGTTTAACCTAGTAAATATGATCAATAACCCTCATATGCTCTATCACGCCGAAGAGTGAGGCCATAAAGTTGGGGATTCAAACTCTTTGAAACAATTGTTTCTCTTTATACCTCATATCTTGGCAAATTTTCGACAAGTTGATATTCACATTTTTTTGAAGATGGGATGCAAAGTATATATCCTCCAATGGGATGTAAGGTCAAACTCTATTCGGAATCAAATGGTCTTAAGTCTTAGACAAAAGTTTAAGTAGAGAAAGAATCGATCACGCATAAAACTTGAGAGAGTTACCTGTTGAGCTACAAAAGCAATTATATCTGCCTCTGATAGTTCACTGTTGTTCCTCTTTACCACAAATGCCACCGGAATCTCTCCCACTTCATCCTCGCTGGCTCTAATATATAGACACATACAAAGAAATTAAGGAAGTCCGTATGAATAAAAGTGTTTTCCTTGATTTCTTATTACATTATTGCACCTCTCTTGGAATAAGGATATTTTTACTTGGACTGCTGGTCTGGTCTGATCTGGTCTGAACTGTTTAGTCTGGTAATGTCTGGTCTATTTGTATTTTCATAAATATCCAAGTCTGGTCAAGTCTGGTCTGAACTAGTTTGTTCTGATCTGATCTGGTCTGGGATGGATTAGTAAAAACATCCTAAAGCTTCATATAATTGATTGAATTATCGAAATTTAGAAATTAAAATAAAAAACTGCCAAGCCAAAGAAAGGATGAAGCATACGAGGTTACTCCAGCATCAATAATATCTGGGTGAGAAATTAACACTGCTTCCAAATCAGCAGGAGCGATCTGCATATAGAATTACAGTGATTCAGTATAGGCGGGCCGAGCATTTTAAATGTAAGAATGTGCATGATGTACATGTAGTATGAGAGATACAGACACAACAACAACAACATCCAAACCTTAGTCCTAAAAGATATTGGCGTCGGCTAACATGAATCGATGCATGATATTACCACCAAAAGGAAAAGAAAGAAAATAAAGATAAAAAAGATAAGTTATTATGAAAAAGATAATATAAAAAGAGATGAATATAGGGATAATTTGAGTTTGCACCCCATATTATTGTTCAAATTGGACTTTGCACCCCGTTTTTAAAAAAACTTTGTTTTTGCACCCCAACCCTATATGAAAAGACAAAAATGCCCCTCGATCATGAATATGTTTCAAAATAATTGTTAATGGAGGGGCATTTTTGTCTTTTCATATAGGGTTGGGGTGCAAAAACAAAGTTTTTTTAAAAACGGGGTGCACAGTCCAATTATGACAATAATATGGGGTGCAAACTCAAATTACCCCATGAATATACCTAAAAATGATAAAATAAAAAGGATTAAAATAATGTTTATATATAAGGATAAAAGGATTAAAAAAAACAAGAATGAGAGATACAGACACATAAAATAAAATTATCGAAGTTTCTCTCCTTTTCTTTTCACGAGCCTCTATGTCTATAGTTACTTTTTATCAACAATATCTACATCTAACGTTGTCGTTGACATTATGATTTTTTAACCAAAAATAGATAAAACCTTTTAAACAAGGAGAGAGATATTGCATCTATTATTTTTATCCACATATGTACCGTGCAAATTGTTGTATTGGAGACGATCTTATTTATACTCTAGTTGGGTTACTGTCACACCCGTCTAAAATGTGAATAAATCATAAATGGTACCCTAAATATGGTATTGATACCTTAACTTTTTTTTGAAAACAGATAACTTAATTATTAATAAAACTGAGGATCAGATAAAAATTCGCCATAACAAAGGCTACACTGGGATGAGACTCAGAGCTAGATTCGCGCTTACTAGCGGACCAACTCGCTAACACCGCAATTTAGTAGACTCCATACACAACAATGCTGCACCTGCTACTAAAAGGGGAATGAAAAAACATAACAAAGTTCTGAACCAATGAAAAAACAGAAGAGGAACATAATCCAGTTTGTCCAGCCACTGGCAAGGTAGTAGCGGTTTGACCAGCCTCCGCTAAAAGTACGTCCTTCTGCTACTGGCGGTGCTGTCCGGGCAGCACCGCGACTTCCAAGTTTTTTGAAGCTTCTTCATCTACCTCCATGCTCGCCTGTGTCCCCGGCCACCTCGATGTCCTTCTCAGTAATCCTACGCTTTCTTGGCGCATCCCCAGTTGTAGCAATCTCCTTACCCTTTGATAAGAGTCCTTCCACCAAATAGCTTTCCTGATCCTTTGTCCCTTAATCAGACTCTACCTTTTCCTCCTGCCTATCACCTGGTTTGTTATTACTAAAAATAAGCCACCTGTTTCCTGGGTGAACTCCTCCCCGCCTCATATCAGCCCATAGCCATGGCCCATATGGTTTTTCCCCGGTCCCTATTCCACTATGAGGGTTAGAGGGACAAAACCGGTCAGCATGACCAAGAATCCTGCACAAGAAGCAGAAGTTCGGGAGTCTTTCATACCGAAAGTTTGCCCAAGTCCAGCTGTCTCTCTCCTGTCTAACCTATAAATGTCGAGTCAAGGCCTTGGTAATGTTCAGAGTGACTCTTATGCGCATAAACAACCTTTGCTTTCCACCAGGAGAGCTCTCATCCAATTGTACAAATGATCCGATGCTATTAGCTATGCCACGTGTTGCCCTTGCCGTCATGTAACTTAGCGGCAAATCATGAACCTGAACCCAAAAGTCTGCATGGTCCAGTGTAACCTCCAGAGGCTTGTCAGTACATCCCATCCGTTTGATGACCACCAGATTTTGCTCAAAGGACCACTGCCCTTCATCAACAACTCTGTTCAGATCTCCCTCTTGATAGAACTGTAACAAGAATTTTGAGTCCTCAATTTCATCAATAGAGACCCCCTTAACTGGTCGTTAAACCATACACATTGTTTGGCAAAAGGAAACAGCACGAACGAGTTTATGAGACACCACTCTAGCCACCACCGCTAGATGAAAACTCTCCTTAGTCCCACCCAAGTTCTCGGTTGGGTCAGCCACAAGCACCAGCCCCCTGTTTTCCCTCAGCGATTGATATCATATTAACATTCTTCGAGATCATATCCATCGTATCGTAATTCAAAATTCACCGAGCGAACACAAGTAAGAACAAAACACCAAAATGCCGTACTAAATTCCAAGATGGACTATATTGCAATCCCTAAGCAAACGAAACACACTGCAAAGTAGCCAAACCGGGCCAGAAAAATAACGCCGAAAGAATAATGCCATAGTAGCCACGATGACACAGTCTCGGCCAAATCGAGCCGGAAAAAACGTCGTAGGAGAAACGCCCGGAGAAGAGAAGAAATCGAACAAAAACGTTAAAACAGAGTTTAAAGCAACCTAACCACTGAAGAAATCAAGCCCACGCTTCCTGATACGGCTGTTAGCATCGTCTCTTTCATCGATTCTTGCCGATCCGACGAGCCGTCAAAGCCATCACAGCTAGGGTTTTCGCCCAATTTTTTGCTCAAACTTAATCTTGCAATTCTGCTTTACAGTTGCTATACATCCCTTTGATACCTTAACTTTTAGATGAAGCAAATCAGTATCTCAACTATTTTAACTTTTTATCTGGCGGAACAACTCAAAGTTGTAAACAAAATCATGTGTCTCTTTTAGGATTCACATATACAGTCGTAATAATTTTATCCACGTCATTATCGTACACGTAATCATAGGCGGGATAAGTCAGAAAATAAAAACTACATGGAGGGGAATATATGGTTGCATATATGAATTTCCAGGAAATATACATCATTTTTTACTGGAATTTGAGAGGTATCTATGGTAGGGTAAACATTTGAAAGTAATAATGATATTGATTTGCTTTATTTTAGAGTTAAGATATTAAAATGTATCAATAATATAGTCAAGATACTATTTGTGCACTTTTCTTTATACTGTCAGTTTATATCCTGTAACATGAGTCTAAGTTGAACAGTGAGAATATATTGAAGTATTTGACTTTCACAAAATCAAACAAATATGAGATTCAAATTTTGGTTGTGATATCATATTCTCATAGTTTATTTCACCGTCCATTTATTCAATTATACGCTTTCAAGTTGTTCACTTGGTCACTCGGGATCGGAATGATTGGTGTGTCGATATATTTGTCACACATTTGATAAGATATAAAATATTAAATTTCGTCCAAAAAGTTGAACCACCATGCTCTCATGTGACTAGCATAATAGAAATTGTAAATAATGATGACTCAATCGGTCCTAACGATCTTATACTCGTGCGCATCAAAGGCCTAGTCTAGCATACAAGAGCTTTGACATTCACACGGGGGTCATTGATCATCGTTCAAACCTCTCACCGCTTTACCACGCCCCCTAGCTTTAAATGTTTTATAGATTTCCGGTGTGGGACATTTTAACAAACTTCGTATACCATATTTCATTTTTCCGAAATGTATATGTACCTGGAAGCCTTTGTATTTAATGATCTCTTTCAGTCGGTCATTGACATAGAGGTACCCTTCACAATCAAAATACACAATGTCACCTGTATGCAACCACCCTTCATCATCTAGTGTACTCTTCGTCGCCTCAATGTTATTTTGGTACCCTGCAAATTTAATTCAGACATCTTATTCTTTGAGATTGTGTTGACAAACAAAAATTATTCTTTTAACTTTTGCAGTATTTAAAAAGTTCCTGAAAAGAATTCAATTGTATGCTTGAACAATGAAGAAATTAAACACATTTTGGGATTTGTTTACAATTTTGGATAGTTTTTAGAAGTTGTGAAGAGTTTGCTTTTTTTGAGAAATTATAATGCATTCAATATTAGTTAGTCATAATAACTTGTTTAATTAAATCAGACTACATCAGACACTTAATTTTTATCGAACAACTACATTATTAACATTCACTAGATTTTTCCATTCGTCAATCTACTTTTTTCTTGCATTCTAGAAAGGGTCAATATTATTACTTGTACTTCTATATGCAGAGCCGTGCGGTGCTTGAGGGCCAGGGGTGGGCAAAAATACCGAAATATCGGTATACCGCACTTACCGTACCGAAAAATACCGGAAAATACCGAAATATTGGTATACCGTCATTTTCGGTACGGTATCTTACCGTACCGATCTATTTCGGTACGGTAATGGTAAATGTTTTCAAATACCGCGGTATACCGGTATAATACCGTACCGACTCTACTCAACAATTACTTTTAATTCTAATATATTGTAGAAATCCATTACAATTTTAAAGCCCAAAATTAATACTTAAGTTGGTTACAAATACAAAAATACAAAAATAAAGGTCCAATTTCTCAAACCCACTATAACCTTATAGGCTTCTACTTCGCTAACCTTAATGACTAATGAGTAATGTACAAATGTCAAGAAACAAGTCCATCCTGTTCCAAGAGCTTGCAAGTCGTGATGGCTGAGCCGCTAAGTAGCTGACGAGTGAAGAGAGATACACTTATGTGACAAGTGTATTTACATAGGGATTCCACGAGTCGAGACTCACATCTTTGTCCGAAAGTCTTATTCAATTTTTAAAAAATTATAAAAATGACCGAATACACAATATCATATTAGGAATAAATGATTTTATATCCATATTGTTTGAATAGTTTTATTTTTTTTTGTTAGAGATCACTATTGATTTAATTATATCTATATTGTTTAAGTTATTTTAGGAGAATGTGTAACTTTTTAATATGTGGCATGTTGAACTCCTTAAATATACTAATAATAGTTATTCTTCAATATTGAATTGACGTCAATAGATTATTAATTGTATTTCGTAACATTTTAATAATAGATTTAATATGTCGCTAGTAATAACGATTTAGTATATTTCGTTAGTCAATGATAATTTTTTGTATTGGGAGACATGCACGGTAATTTACCGATACCGTACCGTTACCGAACCGAAACTTCGGTATACCGAAATGCGGTATACCGAAACTTCGGTAAGGTAAAGGTATGCAAATTTTGCATACCGAAAGTTTTGGTATGGCAAAGGTATGAGAAAAAATATAAGGTATACCGTACCGAACCACCCCTACTTGAGGCAGATGAGGCACTTGCCTCAGGGTCCAAAAAATTGTTAAAATTTTAGGGCCCACAATTTTAGATATTTCTTTAGTATATATATGTATTAAATTTACATATTGGGCTTCCTTTTTGTCTGTTAGAGCACCAGTTAGAAAGAACCTGGAGATATCAAATCACACTCACACACACTATGTGCTGATATATGAGAAGGGAATCATATTCTACCCAGGAACTCTGCTTTTGAATTACAGGAGGATGCCTTTATATATAATAGGCATTGAAACATCATTTACTTGGAACATTAAAGATAGAACTTTCTGGGAACTCTTTTCGTGTATCTAGCAACTCTTTAGTTTCCCACATTTATTTGAATTAAAACTATTTCCCAACATTGTCTAACCTTTGTCCGTTGACTCCGCTATTGTACTTCACAAAGGAAAACCCAAAAGTCCCCCAATTACTTTTGTTGGACCAATAGTCTATATGACTAACAAAGTACTACGTATTACTTATGTTATCACAAACTTCTATTACGAGTAATTATAGTCTTAAAAACACTAGATTTAGTTGTGAAAAAAAATAAAAGGTATTTTGGATGTAATTATTTTTTGACATTTTATGGTTAGCAAAAAACAAAATCACATTTTAAAATGAACTTGAATGTAACAAAATCACCATGTTAGCAAAATCTCTCCTCTCTCTTACATGTGCTCTCAAGTCTAAACGTGTGTTTTCAGTTCAGTATTTATTGAAAACCAAGTGTGGAATCAAAGCAATAATTTTGATTTGATTCGATTTTTTCTTTCAAAACATAAGACCATGAGTTGAATAATTTGATTTCTTTTGATTCAGTTTCATTCTTTGTTTTGTTTTTTCTTTTAATATAATGAAAAGTACTAGAAAAAACAATAATAAAATAAAATAAGAGAATGACTAAATATATCTTCAGTTATATGTAAGGAAACAAATAATTTTCCAGGTTTTTAGAACAGTGTACATTAAGATTACATACTGTCAATAAAAGTTAAACGAGTTTTGTTACTATCTAAATATAAAAACTTTAAGATATATAAAACTAAAGTTGTTAGTAGTAAGAAGTAACAACACATTACCTTTACCACTATGCAACAAATTACAAAATGCAAACATAAAAATTAATAAATCAATATAGTCGTAAATTGAACTAAATAAAGAATACAACAACTTAATATCTTAATAAGAAGTTCATATCAAGTATAACACAAAATATAAATGTGCTCACTTGAAAATCAAAGACTAAGATTGAAACTAAAATTAATGTTGAATTTTTGACCAATAAAGTTTCATATTTTAATTAATTCAACTTATTTGGGCCAATTCGATTTTGAAAGGCCAAAATCATAATTGATAAATTGAACTAATGCAAACAAAAATGTAAGGCTCCCATATTTAGGTAGCCTCTTTAACATTGATTTGACCCGTACCACTTAGAGCATATCCAAATGTTCATTCGAAGGACTTAGTTTGCTTACAATTTTAAAGGTAATAGTTTATCATTGAAGCATTGCCTTTACTTTTGAGAAAACTAATTAGCCATAACGAGCAAGTTACTAGCTTGAAAAAGGAGAATTATTAAATACTCTCTCCATCACATTATATTATTCTTACTTATCATTTTGGGATATCCCAAAAAATTCTTTACATTTACCTTTTTCTTACTCAACCACAACTATGTAATTTTGAGTAAGACACATATATTATAATTTTGTGTAGAATAAGAAAAAATTATACACATATAATATACCCAGTGGACACAAGAATTTTGTGTCCCATAATTTTGCGCAGAATTATAATATAGGTTTCTTAATCCACTTTATTCTACCCACAGTTCTTCATCTTTTTCTTACTCAACCCAAAAAATTACTCCCTCCGTCCCAATATAAAAGGCACATTTGCGTTTGAGGAGTTTTTAAGGGTGAACACTGTTTGAACACTGTTTGACACTGTTTAGACACTGTTTGGCACTGTTTGGACACTGTTTGGCACTGTTTTGCACTGTTTTGTTTGCCAAAAAGAGAAATGTGCCTTTTATATTGGGACGGACCGAAAAGGAAAGTGTGCCTTTTATATTGGGACGGAGGGAGTATAATATACGTGTCTATCATTTTGATTCTTCACATTTACCTTATTTCACTTTATTCTCACATTTTGAAACTCATGTCTTAATCAAATCGGGAAAAATTTGATGGGACGGATCAAAGAATATAAAATTATGGGAGAAGGCTCCAAAATGACACTAAGGTTATTTACGAAGTTCGAATTAGACATTAAACTCTTAAGTAGACCAAATTAACACATAATCAACTTATTTGGACTATATTTGGCCACCCACTTGTAATTCTGTTAGACCCGTTGTTAACCGCCCAAGCCTCCGTTGTCAATTCTTCAATTCACTGTCTTGGTCAACTCCATCTCTGTATTCCGATCTTGCTTCTCTATTTCACTTCTCACCACCAAACAAACTCTCTCTTCTACTCAATGGCCCGCCTCCAAACCTTTGAATTGCTATCCTTTGTCCTCTATCTTCATTCTTTAATTTACATCTCGACTCCGTCCTTGTTGAGCCCTCCAAGTAGTCCTAGTTCTCCTTCAACCCTCGTCGCACTCTTCTCCGCCCACAGCTGCTTTCTAATCTTCTCTCATGGAGCCCAAGACAACAAGTGAATCGGCATTTCATTCGTCTATTAAGCTAGATTAGTCCAAACATATCATTATTTTCCTCCAAAATGAATGAAAATCATAGCTTGAACTGACCACTAGTTCACATATATTGTTGTTTAAAAAAAGTGAACGGAGAAAAATTACCAGAAGAAGGATGAACTTCCCAATCTAGGCCAACCAAGTGGAATTAATTCACAAACGAGAAGGAATTTGGCTAATCAATAGCTCATTTGCCACTGTTTGCATTGCTCTATCCAATTACATGTGCAAGTTGTGGGTCTTGTAGAGTTGTAAGTCTGTCAGAGTCAAAACGGGGTTTTGGGCGAAGAGGAAGAAGGTATATGTGCGGGGTTTTTGGAAGAGTCGGCTGCTATCGGGTCTAATGAAGTCTAGTATTCTGGCGGAGAAGAAATGAGAGTTGGCATTCATTTAGGTTTTGGGCGAAGATGGACGTGCGGTAACAGCCGTTAATTTAAGTGCGACGTAATGAGTGCCCTAATATGACTAAAATGTATACGTTGTGCTAATTTGGTCTACTTAAAAGTTTAATGTCTAATCCGCACTTAGTAACTAACCTTAATGTCATTTTCGAACCTTCTCCCTAAAATTATTAATAATGAATGAAGAGAAAGAAGTTATAGCTAATTATTGAACTACATTTTAATTTTTCTGCAAATGCTTATGTGACTAGTCAAGTCGTAAGGGTAATTAGCTAACCGCTAGAGTTGCTCTTAGAGCATCTCCAATGGTTTGTTTGGTAGACTTGCATGCAATTTTAAAGCTAATACCTTACCATTACTTTTCCTTTTGCTTGAGAAAACTAATTAGTCAAAAAAGAGCTATATATTAGCTTGATGAAAGAGAACTATTAAATATATATAAAATTATTAATATTAAATGAAGATGAAGAAGTTGGAGCGAATCATTGACATACATTTTAGTTTGAATACAATTTTACTGAAAACACTTATGACAAATCCAACTATAAGATTAGTTAGCTAACCAATGGAGATGCTATGAATGTTTACTAATTTTTTGTCTAATATATATATACTCCGTATAAGATAAGCAATAATACAAGCAAGGAAAATTAAATCTTAGCTTTTGAGAACTTAGATGAATTTTAATAATTTGTCAAATGAATAATAATAAGATAAACATATTTAAAAAAACATGGAAGCTATGAATTATGAAATTACCTTTCATGATAGAAGGTCCTCGTAGCCAAAGCTCACCCTTGCAGTTGGGAGGTGAGGGTAAACTAGTATTCCAATCTACCACTTTGGCTTCCATATTTGGAGCCAAAAGTCCTACTGAAGAATAATTATGAAGTTTTGCAGTGTTATAACCTCTTGTTCCAACAGCAGTAGACTCTGTCATGCCATAACCCTACATATTCCCAACAATTTTTTTCCTTAAGATCTCCTCCCAAGACATTTTAAACTTGTCTACAAAATCTAATTAATACGGAGTATTCTCTAAAGGAAGCATGGCTGTGATTTATATTATTTCTCTCTCTTCGAAAAATGGGCAGAGCCAGAAAAATGTGTGAGAGGGTCGGAATTTAATTACATATAGTATCAAAATGATGAATAGTTATTATACAATATTTGAACTAAATGCGTCATATTAGCTGAGATAAATGGTAGTTTAATGAACATTTTTCGCTTAATGTATTGATATATATGTAATGTATCATAATGTTCACACAACTAATGAGTGAATAGGGTGTTTTATTTTTAAATTTAAAAATATAATCAACATCACACATCAAATTTGGCTTATTTCAAGTTAAGATGATGCTGATTTTTCCAAGGGTCATAACTTTTTACTCGTAATGAGTTATAGGACCCATAATATATCAAATCGAAGGTATTTCAGAGCTCTACATTCTTGAACTTTCAGCGGGGTCGGTTGACCACCCTGACCCCCCCTTGGCTCCGCCCCTGCTTCGAAGGTAATGTACTTTTATCTTTTCCACAACTTTTGAATATTTTCTAGAATTGTTTGTCAAGTTTACATTTAACTTTTTACATTTTAATTTATGTTTTTTATGTTTACTTTTTCAAACTATTTATACATTATTACATTTATTAATTGTAAATTTTTATTCGTATACTTTTTAAAAAAGATAGAAATTGTGTTGGAGCCCGTTTAGTGACCATGTTTTTCGGCCTATCACCTTTATCAATCAAGTTTTTCACCAAACACGTATATTATAATTCTACGCACAGAATTGTGTAATAATCATAATAAGTAAAGTTGAAGTTACTTTTATGGCCGAATTGACTGAAGTTACTGTAGAGAACCAATTTAGCTATTTTTCATATACATTTTTTTATTCTATTAATAAAATACTCCGTACATAGTATTTTTTACTTTTTTTGGTCATAATTCAACAAAATCAACCAATTTAATCACTTTATTTAAAATTTCATAAATTTTACATAGTCAATCAATTTGAATGTTACGAAACTGACTCTTAGTTTTTTCTCCAAATATTCGGAAAAGTAACATGCTATAGAAGATCATCGTACAACAAAAAAAATCTTGACTGATTTTGATCTTGATTGATTTTTAAGGTTTATGAGATGAATGTGAAAATAAGTCCAGTCCAACACGTGCCAAAACTTCAAGATCTACTTTGGGGTGTTGAAAATATGTCTACTTTCAATTGAAATCCATATTCAGTTCTATAAACTACGTTTTTCGTGATAAAATTGTGTTAATGTATAATGTGATCCAGATTCTCTCAATTCTGGGGATGTTGAAAATATGTCCATTTCCTTTACCGACGTACTATACATATTACTTAATTTGTTCGGTAATAACTTCTCTTTTAATTACTAGGTATTTTTTTTTTTTATCTAGGCTATGTTTGGTAAGCAAGTCTCCGTCTTCTAACTTTTACATTTTTTAAAAGGGAAAGGAACAAATGTATCCTTGAACTTTATACGTGAGAGCAAATATACCCTTCAATTTCATTTTGGAACAACTAAACACATAATTTTTAAATTTGGAACAAATATACCCTTAACTATATACTCCGTATATTAAAGAACGTATGTATCCCATAACCATTTGAAAATAAGGGTATACTTTTTCTAATTTTACAACTTTTGTGTTTAATTGTTCCAAATGTAAGTTGAGGGGTATATTTGTTCTCCTAGACATAGTTTAAGGGTATATTTGTACTTTCTCCCTTTTTAAAAAAGTCTCTAAAAACTTCTAGTTGTATGTTTGACATGATAATTTCTAAGAGTTTTTCAAAAAATAAAAGATCTTTTAAATCACTAAAAGCTAACCTTTACTAATTACTATGGGGGTGTTTGGAACTGATTCTGCTTCTGCTTCTTTTTTTTATAGCAAAAGCAGAATCAGAATCAGTTTTCAGAAGCTGGTCACCCCCAACTTCTAAAAAACTGATTCTAGGAGTAAATTTGAGCAGCAGAATCACTTCCGCTCTTTCACCCAAACACTCCAGCTTCTGCTTCTGCTCCCTGAAGCAGCAGAAACAGTTTTAAGAATCGGATCCAAACACCCCCTAAAATACTCACAAAAGTATCTTTTCTGTTAATTGTACCAAACATACTCATAGTTAATTTAACTAGATAAAAAAAATCAGACCAAACTCAGACATTTATAAAATACACAGAGACCAGACATCTACTAGACCAGACCGAACCATTTCATTCCAATTAAAAACATCTTTAGAGTTGGCATCATATCAAAGAAAAATAGTATGGAGTAATTCTATTTTTTGGTTTATTAGATATATTAGTCAACTTTTTAATCAAACACTAACAGTAGGACATAATAGGTAGTACTTCCTCCGTCCCGTTAAAATTATCTCATATTTTCTTTTCTGTTCATCGCACTTAAATAGTGTCATACCTAATTTGGTAAGATTTATTTGGTTCTAAATCGTTAAAAAAATTTAATCAAACACTACCATTAGGATATACTCCCTCCGTCCCGAAATAACTTTCCTGCTTTTCTTTTTGGCCCGTCCCAAAATAATTGTCTTGTTTTATCTTTTGGCAGTAATGTGTGGCTCATATCAATTCATCAAACACATTAGAATATACTCCCTCCGTCCCGAAATAACTTTCCTGCTTTTCTTTTTGGCCCGTCCCAAAATAATTATCTTGTTTCATCCTTTGGCAATAATGTGTGGCTCATATCAATTCACATTTTTTTATTCAAATCTCAACCACAACTTTTACCTTGTATCAAACAAGACGTTTATTTCGGGACGGGGATTAATAGATAGTACTTTCTCATCCCACTTTTTTGTTTTGTTTTGTTTTGTGTTCAACCTTAGGTTCACACTCCATTCACATACCTGGATGAAATCAATATGGGGCAGAGTTTGAACAAAGTCTTGAATCCAGGCTAAACTTGTGGGGGCGGCCCCACATGAAACCTGCTTCATACTCTTCATCACCACTCTGTTAATACCACCGGCCGTCGCCGCCTTTGCTTTTAGCGTCAATGTTCTCAACAGCGGCGGCGCGATCGGAAAATGAGTGACCCCGAATCTCTCAATGGCTCTCACCACTTCATCGCCGTCGCACCTTCCCATCACAACCACCGTGGAGCCCAACGACAGCAACCCCATCACGAACATAGAAAGTCCGTACACATGAAACATCGGCACAACATCCAAGTACACATTCTTTCTGCTGTCATAATCATACTGAGAAGCTTCAAACCTCAAGAACAGTTCAACCATTGCTATGAAATTCCGATGAGTCAACACTACTCCCTTGCAAGCCCCAGTCGTCCCAGACGAGAACAGAATCGCTGCGGTGTCTTCCTGCTTGATTCTTGGCTTATATTCCCTCTTTAAATCGCTGCGAATCAAATCAAAGAAAACAGAGCCCGCCGGGAAATCAAGATTTGAACTTTCCGGCAACCCGATCACCGGGATACCCAATGCACTGAATTCTTCAGCCCTGTTGAGGGAAGAGAACGCCAGACAGATATTATTCATACTATCTAAAGCTTGCTTCTTTACCTCAAACAAAGTGCTAAGCGGATTCATGGGGACCACTATTGCTCCTAGACTCAGAACACTCAGAACGATCACCGGGAAATGGATGGAATTGGGAAGCAAGATCAAGACGGCATCACCTTGTGAAACGCCCATTTTGTGGAGACCGCCGGCCATGGACTTGACCAGAGAGTAGAGCTCTGGGTAGGAAATTGAAAACCCAGATTGTGAATCGACCAGAGAAGATGCGCCGCCGTGTTTGTGGGAGAAGATGAAGGAGACGACGTCGAGGAATGGGTCGGTCGGAAGTTGTACGGAAGGGTGCGTGCTTCTGTATATCCCTGTTTCCGGCGAGTACCAACAGGGGAAGCTATCGGAGCTGCTTTTTCCTCCCTGTCTCCCTTGTTCTTCGGAGTTTTGGATTGTGGAGTTGTTACTGTGTAGGTGGATGGAAGCGGGATGGTGTGAATCAGCATTGGCCTTCACATATTTTGTCGCCATTGTTTGGAATTTGTTGGAGATAGAGGTGGTCTCGTTGTTCATCGGCCGGCAGTAGCTCCCGTTTTCTTGAACTGCCTTCTTTCTAAAGTTCTTACCTCGTTTAGGATGTTTTAGATTATTTAAGCCTTTAAGGTTTCGGATGTTTTTAGTTGACTCTAGTTTGCTGGTTTCTTTGTATTGTTATACTCAGTAATTATTTTTGTTTGGTACCAATTACAGTCCAGGTAAAAACATCCTCAATTGGATGTCGTGAAAGATTATTTGAAAGATTATACGGAGTACTACCTCCGTCCCACTAAGGATGTTTTTACTTGGACTGTAATTTGTCCCAGACCAGACCAGACCAAACCAGTTCAGACCAGACCAGACCAGATCAAACTTGGATAGTTATAAAAAAACAAAGAAATCAGATATTACCAGATCAGACCAGACCAGTCCAGAACAAACCAGACCAGATCAGACCAGACCAGACCAGCAAATTACAGTCCAAGTAAAAACATCCTAAGATTGAGATAAGAGGGTGACACGATTATTAAGAAAAGTGAGTTTGTGTGGTTGGTATTAAACTGATAAAGTAAGAATAAAGTAAGAGTAATTTAGAGTCACACAAACTTTACCAAATTTGGTATGAGACAATCTTAGAAGGATTTCCCGAAAAGGTAAAATGAGACAATCTTAGCGAGACGGAGGGAGTAATTGTGAGTGAAAGATTATATAGGGAGATTATCAAAAAGAAAATCTGGTATCAAGATTTGGGTCCCATATTATTTTAGGTTGTAGTTAAATTGCATTTAATGCATGATCTAGAAAAACTAATTATTTGAGTATCATGGTTGATGAAGAGTTTTAAGATTTGAGATTATTTAAAATTTATTAAATAAATTTGATGTGGCAATGATGTGTTGTAGAAAAATCATTTATTTTAAAATCATGAATGGAGATGCTCTTAGGTATCTAATGTTGTGTAGAAATCAACAATTAATAGATTTTTGAGATGAGTGAATTCCCTAATCCTAGGGACTAAAATACTAGGTACAGAGTACAAACTACTTACCATGTTTTTGTTCTGGTGCGATATAGTCTGTTCTCGTCTGTTTTAGTATGACCTGATCTGGTCTGATCTGAATTGATCTGTTGTGATATGATAAATGTTAGGTCTCTGTGTATATTATAATTCTCTAAGTCTGTCCTGCTCTGATCTGATCTGTTTAAGTCTAGCATGGTCTGGTTTGATTAGGTCTAGGGTTGAAAAACAGTCTAAAAGAAAATTAGTTGAAAACATAAAAATTAGAGAATAAATTTAAGTATAACAAAATGAAGTCTTGTAAATCACTTAAAGGAAATGAGACATTTATTTTGGAACAATCGAAAAAACAATTCAGGTAAAATGCAACGAAGGAAGTATGAGACAATTTCCTAAGGAGGACTTCCATTTGAAATTATATGTCATAGAACTTAAAATCACCCACTTGTACAAATCTGTTCCTAATTAATTATTTTTCAATTTATAATTAAGAATGTAAAATTAAAAAACTATTCAAGCCCAAAAGTTTCAAGGTAGATGTGGATCGTTGCGCTTACCGCTACACTAAAAGCAATCGCTGATAGTGTAGCACGCCCTTCCCCCTTTTATAGAACAGGCAAAGCGCCACGCGGTCCGATTGCACCGGCAGGCTGGCAGATTGCTGACCGCAGACCCGCGGCAGGCCCAACAATCTCCCCCCCAGCACCTGCCAGCCTACAACTGAGCAGCATGCTGTTGCTGGGGTCGAACCCGTGACCTTTGACTCTGATACCAATTGTGGATCGTTGCGCTTACCGCTACACTAAAAGCAATCGCTGATAGTGTAGCACGCCCTTCCCCCTTTTATAGAACAGGCAAAGCGCCACGCGGTCCGATTGCACCGGCAGGCTGGCAGATTGCTGACCGCAGACCCGCGACAGGCCCAACAGTAGATTATATGGTACCCATAAGGTACTATACCTTTGTCCACATGGAACAATGAGAATGTAGCAGTTGAATTATTTAAATCTAAATAAAAAATGATAAAGTGGTGTGGTCCAATCAAATGAATGGTAGGTACGGTACCCCATATTTTAGAAAGCTACCGGAGTTGTCACCAAGTTTCAATGCTAGCAGTATCACTGTTTTGCACTCACCGAGATGGCCTGTTGTCGTCACCATCCCCATCATCGCTGCCATGTTGCCCTTCACCTTCCAAGCACCACCACCGCCGTGATCGGTCAGGTGGTCATTGTGGTGGATAACTCTATGGCGAGTTATGTATTCACTATCAGATAATGTCATTGGAGACCAAGAGTAATTTAATATGTCACGCCCCGGACCTACCGGACACGTCAACAACCCGCCGTACAGTATGAATAGTCAACCGCAGTCCAACTCATCCATACTATACTAGGCGTCTTGAATACCATTCACACATAGTACATCCATAAACAAACATAATGTAAAATATTCATTTAAAGCAGCGGAAATGTTTAATACAAGTGTTTATGCCACACTTTAGCAAACATGGGCATACAAGCCCCCAAGTAATGATTCGAAAATACTATCCATGAGCATCAATTTAAATATTTTTAAAACAGAAACAGAGGAAGCACGAACCACGTCTTCCTTCCTTGATCTTCCCGAAGCAACGGGCACTGGTAGCAAGCTCAACTCCTACCTGAAACTGTGAGGTGGCCTCCCCCGTGAAGGGGAGGTCAGTACTTGGAAGCATTTGACAAGTACAATGACAACTATACTAAATATAATCAACGCTTTAATTTCTAAGACCCTCAAAATAGGGTGATATCGTAATATAAATAATAACTTATGTTAGAGATATTTTATGGTGTTAAATCATGTCTTACTTAAGTGTATTTGTGTTGCATTTAGTCTAATTAATAGACTATTATTAGACTAGTTATTTTAGGTAAAGCCTTGTAATGTGTGCATTTGGGCCACCTCCATTAAAGGGCCCAATCACACTTAGGTCACATCACCCATTCCCTAGGCATATAAATATTGCCTTAAAGGGAATGGGATCAGAGGCCTTCCCAGAAATTCCCTGCGCAATAGCCTAGAGCTAGAGAGAGTTTACGCTACCTTGAAATATCATTCTGTAAAACTCATTCTCTATCAATGGAAGGTTTCATTCTATAAGCTCTATTTATATTTCTAGAATAGAAACATGGACCAACAATTGGTATCAGAGCCGAGCGTGTGACCGATTGAAGTTTCTGCAATTTATCGATCGATTGAAGGCTGAAAAACGCTCCTGCGCGATTCTTCATCGGCGAAGATATTGCACTTGAGCGATCTTTGGGTCTGTTTTTGTTGTTGTTTTTGCAGGAAATGGCTTGAAGGAAAAGGTTTCTACTGTTGCTAGGATCATTCCTGGAGAAAATCGCACCCTGAAACTCAGCGTACAGGCTAAGCGAGAGTTGAGCAATCCTGAAAGTTCGCGCAACCCCTTCGGAACGAAGAACAGGAACGCGCAACTACACTCCTGCGCGATTTCGAGTATCGCGCAACTCTTCCTGCGCAAACTTGCACTTGCGCCATTGTTTTTATGAAAAGCCTTCGAGTATCGCGAGTTGCGCCATTGTTTGCAACTATTCAGTTCCTGCGCGATTTCGAGTATCGCGAAGCTGACCTTGCGCGATCCAGGTCCGTGTGAGAAAACATACTTGCGCGATCCAAGTCCGTGTGAGAAAACATACTTGCGCGATCCAAGTCCGTGTGAGAAAACATACTTGCGCGATTCTGGACTTCGTTGCGCGATCTGAACTGACCCACACGCCCTGTTGCGCGATATTACTTCTGCGCGATTCTCACATAAGGAAACTCACATCGCCCATTTTTTTTAAAAAAAAAAGGAGAAAGAGGGGCAAAACTGTCTTTTGAGACCCGACAAATTTTGCGGCTATCGTGTCCGCAGGTCGCCCGCGCAGGGGGGGTGCGAATTTTCAGTTTTGAACTTCAAGCTGAAATCCCCTGTGCGCGAGAGCTCCCCTCTTCTCCTTCACCATTTAATCTTAAGGAATGAGTGTTCCATATATATAGGCTCCAAAAGTCTCTTGGAGTTTAGGTGTGGGATAAGTTAACAAGCTTACTTTTCCCTTCCCTTGGAAGAGTACACTTTTTGCACTTACCCACTTCAAGAGCTAATTGTGAGCCCAATTCAAACCTTGTGGTCAAACTCCAAAACCAAAGGTCTACACTTTGTCAAAACTTCAAATAGTCAACCTTGAGATAAAAAAAAAAATAAAAATAAAAATAAAAAAAATCAAATAAAAAAAAAGTCAAAAAATCTCAAGGTTAAGACAAATTTTTCTCAAAGTCAAAGCTACATTTTCAAGAGCCACTAACCTGCAGAAAAACATCAATCAACCACACGTCAACGATCAACATTCAACAATCAATCATGACTACCCCAACCGCTGCTGATAAAGTGACTGCCCTCTCTGCTAAAAACAAGAATGCAGACAGCGCTGTAAGCACTTCTAATCCTTTTACTTATACTTGCTCTAGAACTGACCCACACGATAGAATTAAGGAGCTTGAGGGAAAATTTAATACGGGATTTAGTGTGTATAACAGACTACGTATCAATTCAGAGAAAATCATCACTAAGCTCACAACTGAAAATAAGAGACTTAGTGCTAGCGAAAAAGAACTGACAGAGAAGCTTAGAACAACTGAGAAAGAGAGAATTAGACTTTTTGGTGTCAATAATTTACTTATGGAAAGAAGGGGTGCTCTTTACACCAAAATCAAAGAACTCGAAGACCTGTTAGCCAAGAGAGACCAAACAGACCAGACTATTTTCCTTAACCAGCCTAAGGACACTCGTTTCTATAACGCCAAGGAGGGCCTGGGTTTGACCAATCCTCAGAACCTAAAAAAGGTCAACTGTAGACAACTCTACGATGTTAGATACATGAAAATAGGATTGACCAAACTCATGGCCTTCACTGGAGCTGAGGAAACGAATGCCCTCGAGGATGAAAAGAGAAAGACAAAGGCTGGTGTCGAGGTTCCTTTTGACTACACAGAGTTGAACAAGAGTTACAAAACCAAAGTGCTCCCGCTTACTCCTGCCGAAGAAGTTATAACTAATCCCCCTGAAAAGG